TAGCGAAAAAAAATCGTAAATCGAAGGTTTTACAAAGAATGGATCTGTAACTCTCTGCTTTATCTGTCCGACTTTTGTCAAGCAGAGAGCTATAGTTCTGCTGCTATTTTTGTATCAGATCCTTCAAATCTGAAATCTTTTCCAAACAGTGTTTGAATATTTACAAAGAAGGTTTTTTTTGTTGTAATAAAGGAGCCTAAATTAAATATTTTGGAGACTAGGGTAGTTTATTTAAAATTTGATATTTTGGAATCATTCTAATTTGTAGGGTTTAATTTTTGCAGGTAAGAAAAGTTGTATTGGTTTGTATGATCGTAATTTCGTGCATGCACTGAGTAACTGAAATATTCAGACGAATCAATGTATAAATTTATATATTGGCAATGTAGTTGGTCGCTTCAAAAGAAATCCACGAAAGTTTGTCACCCAAGAACCATCTTAATTCCAAACGCTTTTTTTAGGATACACGCATAAAGTTTCTTTATTTATCGTCGCTTACTTAATCATTAACCTTATCTTTAATTTGATTCTTGTTTCTTTTCTTTGTTTAGAAATTAATTACCCAGTACATGTATTGATTCTTTTTGTCTTTAGAAGAAGTCAGCAAAAAAATTAAATTTTTAAAACTAAACTTTTCGATAGAAGGGAGAAAAAGATTTTGCAATGGCATTTATGAAAACCTATGTATGCACAGAATTTTAACATCTCTCTTCCGACATGAGCTGCTGACGCTTTTACTTTTTTTGCACGTCTAATCATATTTACATTTAGTTCGAATGTATCTTTTGAAGTTTTCTTGTAATTGTGTGTGCTTACACATGATTTACAAATTTTTAAAGATAACATTCAATTCAATGAATGTGTAAATACTGTATAGAAAAGTTTAAACATTATGTAAATCATAGTATTCTGGAACTCTGAAGCCGTTGACATATTAAAACCTCTGGGTATTCAAGTAATATGTAATAAGGATGACCAAGAAGCATATATTAAGACGGTCTTATAAAATTAAAATTCTTTATTACAGAGAATGGCCCTGTTTCTTTAAAGCATGATATAATAATTTTTATTTCACTTATTTGATATATTCTTCCATTTTAGTCATGCTTAACAATTATACCACATACTTTATTTTCTATTCTGGCAAAACAACTCTATTTTATTTATCTAGGTTATTGAAAATGATATGGTGGAATAATTTTTATTCGTGGGGTTTAATTTTTGCAAGTAAGTAAAAATTGCATTTGTTTGTATGGTTGTACATGTAATTTGGTACAATGGGTAACTGCAATATTCAGACAATTCAATGTATAAATATATTAGACAAAGGAATTGTTCGCCTCCAAGGAAATCCACGGGAGTTTTTCACCCAAGAACCACCTTAATTCCAAACACTTTTTTCGAGGATACACGCATTAAGTTTCTGTATTTATTGTTTCTTACTTAATCATTAACCTTATCTTTTTAATTTGGTCCTTGGTTCTTGTTTCTTTTTCGTTGTTTAGACATTAATTACCTAGTACATGTAATAATTTTTTGGTCTTTAGAAGTCAGCATTTGTTCCTGGTGAATAATTGACTATATGATTTTCCTTCGGAATACCGTCTAACACCTTATTTCATGAAAGTTATTGTATTTATAGAAAATCTCTCCAAGCTTTATATTTCAGGCATGTAATTTCAGCGATATGCTTTTATGTAGATGGTTATTTCTTTTTTCCTTTTATGGGTGCGGGCTTTTGCACATTCCAATACTTGGTTGTTCTCAGGACTTGACACGATTTAAAATAATGTACATGTTTTGTTTCTGCAGAACAAAATATAAGATGTTTTTCGCTAACATCGTTGATTTTAAATACATGTTTATTAAATTTACGTGACCGTGAAGTGTCGAACCTAAGGAAATATATGATCTTATTAAATTTAAATTAAGCATGGAAATTAGAGTTTACATTACTATAAATTGCATTTATATTCGACATATTTTGATTTGTAGAACATGTTTGACTTTCAGAAATTCGAAATGTGGCCGATCAAAAAATAAAATGAGATGTACATAATAGCTTTATATGACAAAGATTCTCTGTAAATATCGCTTACTTTCAATCATTAGTATAAGAGGGGTTGCAGAGAGAGAAAGGGGAACCCATGCCAAGAGGACGTATAAGTACATACAGACGGACGAACAGAACGGACACATCCTTCACAATATAATATAAACCTTGACTTTCAAGTTGGGGTTTAATAAGATTGTGGTTATTGCCTTAATCACATAATATTTGGTAAAAATTGATTAAGGTGAAAGTGAATAATCTGAAATGTTCAGTGCAAAAAGATCAAGTTCATGTGCCGTTGCGCCGCAAGATGCCCAAAAAAAAATTCAATAGAAGGGAAAAACAATGATCCTGCGATGCACTGGGTGAAAAAAGTGGTTTCCCATCACGGGAAACTTTATGGAAACCACATGGAAACCTCAAGTTTACATCATGTTTCCCAGTGGTTTCCGTAGCGGATGCTAGGTTATTCCGCCAAGTTTCCGTGACACGGAAACCCCCTACGCTCCGATTCCATAAGGTATCCCGAACCACGGAAACCTCTGTAAACCTGAAGTTTCCCGAACATCCATGTAGTTTCCCGTAATGGGAAACCTGAAGATTCCACTGGTTTCCAGAATTAGGAAACTTGATGGAATGGAGCGTAGGGGGTTTCCGTGGAATGGAAACTTGGTGGAATCTTTAGGTTTCCTTTTACGGGAAACTACATGGAAGCTCGGGAAACCTCACGATTCCTTAAGTTTCCTTGACTCAGGAAACCATATGGAATCGGAGCGTAGTGGTTTCCGTGGAATGGAAACTTGATGGAATCTTTAGGTTTCCTTATACGGGAAACTACATGGAAGCTCGGGAAACCTCATGATTCCTAAAGTTTCCTTGACTGAGGAAACCATATGGAATCGGAGCGTAGTGGTTTCCGTGGAATGGAAACTTGATGGAATCTTAAGGTTTTCTTTTATGGGAAACTACATGGAAGCTCATGAAACCTTATGATTCCTGAAGTTTCCTTGACTCAGGAAACTATATGGAACTTGTGTAGCACTTTCTGTGTGGCGGAAAGTTTGTGGAATTATCTGGAGTCCCATTCCTGGTGGAAATTATTGGGAAACTTCAAGATTCCCTAACTTTTCTAAAGGAAGCAATGTGAAATAATGCGTATTCTTTCAAAAATCTATCAAAAAAATTTATTACATGTAAAAGAAAAAAGCATTACCATTTTATATGTTTAATAATTCATTTGATGTACAAAAACTGTAACTGAATTTTTCAATGATATCAAAATATTAAATAAATTCATATATCTTAGATAAACAATGGAACAGTCTTTCACATTTAAGTCCATTCATAAGGGTCATTAAGTACTTCTTTCAACATCAGTTTCCTGGTTTTCTTCACGTCACCTATGATCTGCAATATTCATAAAAAATTATTATATGATGACAGAATTATAATGCTTGAATATAACTTAGAAATCTGAAAGATCAGTCAATGTCCTTTAATATCCCAATATCAATAATTACTTTCCATGACCATGATACATATGATTTCAGCATTTAATGTTTCTCTTTTATATTAAATGCTTTATGATAAGTGAAAAAAATAACATAATATAAATAATGTTTTCAGCCTTATTATGTCATTGAAAATATATTACTACATGTAACTCATACCAAGAACCCTGCTTTAAGTTTGATTAGTTTGAGAGAAAACATACCCTTTATAATAACAAAAATATTAGGGAGAGATTTTTTTTTAATTTTGATATTCCACCTAGAAATTGATTGAAGATCATTACAGACCCTCCACCCCATTGCACAAAAGCTAGATTACACCAGGGGAGAAATATACTCTGGACTACGGTTTTAAATAAAGATATACAGTAGATTTTGATACTGACCTTTGACCTAGAAAATTAGTCCAAGGTCACTCTTCATCCTCTATCCACAGGCTCTCTGTAGTTTAAGTTTGAGAGAGAAATATGCACAGAACAAGTGATTTCAGATGGAGTGATGGGTAGACACTGTCTTAGGGCATCCACAGAACAGGACCTAAAAATAATGCAATATATATGTATTACAGTATATATACACATGTACTTGTATGTTAATGATTTATCATATGCTGCATTGGACACATATGATTTTATCATGGTTTAAGTATACATGTATCTTATGAGTAATTTTATACCGGTATTGCATGTATGCTTAGTTTATTTAAGAAATAAATAACAAGTTTATAAACTTCAATGGGAGAGATACCACATAATTTTTTTTTTACATATATTGACCAACATTATTTACATCCATTCATCATGTTCATGAATTGGCTGATCAAAATTCAGTCAGTTTTAGATCTATATGATATACCATAAAGGACTTTCACATTTACAAAAGTTATTCCCCTTCGCTGGGTCGATCTGGGGTCAACCTACTTAAAACGCTGTTTTCCCTCTTTAACCGTATCAACTTTGAGGGACAATGTCTTAGAAATAAAATTTGTATGAACATATTCATTATGATTTTCATGTTGCCCCCATAATCTGGCAATACAGATATCGTAATTGTCCATATTTTTGAAGATTGAAAATATTAACAAGTAACTTACAAAGGACAAAGTGGGAAAAATGAGCGATATATTGACAATTGGAGAAAACTCTAAGGAATGTGAAATTCGTCTATTGGTGATGACAATTCCTGTTTTAATGTCACTGAAAAATTAAGAGACATTTAAAATTTAAGCCCTATTGTCATACACGCATGTAGTTTTTTCATCCATATAACCTTTTAGTATCATAAAATTTACCAAAATTTAATACTTCAAATAATTTCATTGAATATCTATAAAATAAAAGAAACTCTAAAAACTTAGTGACTTGCAGAAATTATTCCTTGAAGAGAAAAAAATCTCTTCGCCCAAGAAAAGATAACTCACTCGGATGACAATAGGGTAGTAGCCGAGGCCTTCAGATTGCACTCGGAGGGCCTCGGGTACTACCCTATTGTCATCCGAGTGAGTTATCTTTTCTTGGGCGAAGAGATTCACATTGTGCAGAAAGCAGGGATTTTCGTTAGATAAAAGCTATTTTGGATGGATATATTTGGAATATTTTAGCCTGGATAAGTACTAGGACATCATTTGTGCTAGTTCATTTCAGGATTTGTGTAACTTTTCTCAAGTAAGTTGTTTTTTGACTTAGTTTAAAAATCGTGTGCTACTTTCGATTCTTCCCTTGTGTATTTTTATATGTGAAGTAGAGAACAGAGTGGGTAAGATGCCCCTGTGATTAAAGTAGAACTCTTTAGTGTGCAGTTTTTAGAGCTTCCTTTAAGTAATCAAAATACTGACCAGCAAGAAATCAGTTAATAAGCATTTCCTTTTTTTCATTCAAATTTTTGGAGAGATCTCAGAGTTTTTTCCTGTTCAATTCAGGTTCAAGACGACAAAGTTTTATTGAAGTGTATGTATTAGAGAACTGATTGTATGTCAATCATAGCAATACACACATAACATGGAGGGGGCAAATTGTTTCAGCCCTAGCTTTTACATACAACTTCTTGTAGCTCACAGCTGATATACCACAGTTCAGTATTTAAATAAAATGTAGAATCTTTTTTTTCAGGCAATTGTCATATACATACTAATCATGAATGAATTACCACTTACCAAATGACCACATCCTGAATCATCATACATTTTCTATGATTTTATCTCACTGGTTTTCTTTAAAGTCACACAGTTTTCTTCTCTGAAATGATAAATTATGTCCAGGTACTATTGCATTCTAATTCAAACTAATTATGTAATAGCATTAGCAACAACCGGGATGGAAGAAAAAATAACAAAAGTCTCTGTCGAGACTGTAGCTCTACTGGTTTGTACTTATCAAAAACTGATGCACAGAATTATGTATCTTAGTCATGTTAGTATAGTCTACTTGTGTGCCAAGTTATATTGAAATCAGACTAAAATTTAAGGAGGAGTAGTGTTTGCAGATAGACGGACAGACAAACAGACGGACGGACGCATTACTATCGCATAAGCTCTTCTGGTCTCTGACAAGTAGAGCTAAAAACAAGATGCGCTTGTGAAACACAGCAACAAAGTTCGAAAATGCAATTTTTTTTTAGCATACAGGTGACAGTCAAGATCACATAATCATTGTCCTTGTTGCCATTTGAAAGCACTTCATTAGTGGAGTATACATACTAAATATGAAGCCACTATCTCATATACAGTGATATAGTTCTAAAGTTATGGTGAAGGTTTAAGTTGACAACAGACACTCAGACAGACACACAGATATACAGTTATGGCAAAAGTTTGAACATTATAACTTGGTATACACACAGCCACTTCGAGGTATCAAGGGTAAAATTCACAGCACAGCGGGACTGCATTTTGACTTCGAGGGATCAAGGGTTTCAAGAGGTCAGGAGTTCGAGAAATCAAGAGCAAATCTGCTTAGTTATATAGTAAAAAAATCAGGACCGGAGACTCACTTCAAGCGATCAAGAACTTCCGAGAAATCGAAGTTCAAGCCATCAAGAGTTACCTGTATATACACGATATAAGAAGCATGTTATTATTTGCAATTTTGACCTAATGACAGCTAAATCTGTTCAGTAAGACAATACCGTGTACATGTATGTAAGTAGTTTTATTGTGCATGATTATTTACTTATTTTCTTGATCTTCTCAACTTGAAGTGTTCTGTATTTTATTACCAAGTTTGTAATAAACATAATGAAACATACCCTTTCCCACATCACATCCTGTATCATACCTTTGACCAATATCAGCCCTAGGGCCTCTGTCCCTCTGGCTGATATTGGTGTCTCGGGCTAGGATGTAATATGGAAAAGAGTATGTATTATTCGCTATACATTGACCTACTCAGGTCAATAATTGTGAAAAAACTGATAATTCAAGCTGATGATTCATTTGCATTTCTTGACATACTATCAATATTAATTCACTATTAGGCTTTTCTTTTTTTACATCTTCATCTCAACAGGTTAGACATTACAAAAAAAAATCTTTTGAGCAGTAAACTATTTCAATAAACAATAAAACAAACAAAATCTCTTCAGAAAAGTGGACAGGCTTTTACCTACATTCACTTTTTTATGTATATTTTTCCTCCATATCATCGTCATGCATATGATTAAGGGTTATGCTATTCGCTACAATCTACAGGTCCAGGAAAATCACTATATTTAGCTATATAGGTAAATGTACCTATATAGCTTTATTTACCTATAAAATATAGCTATAAGACAAAAAGTCGCATATTGAGGCAGTATTAGTTTTCAACTTTGAAATGGACTGAAAACAATTCACCAAAAACCCACTTATAAAAATGTTTCTCCTTTTGTGCAATTGAAATCAAAGATCTAAAAGCTTTGGGGCTATGTATAACAATTAATCTGTGAGTAAGCAGCTACTTTAACAAAGAAAAGCAGTTTTGGTCAACAAGATAATTGATTGGTAATAATTGACCACAATGGAAGGCAATCACACTTAGTCATGCCTCACCACACTTCCAGCTATCCAAACAATAGAGATACATTTTTTGGTTAAAAAGTGTTTATAAGAGGCAATGTTTTTACTATCAATGCCCTAGGTTGTTTTTATCAATCCTTTTAAAAAATATATTGATCAGCCATAATTTACATGCGACTTTTTGTCTGCTTTTCATAAAACAGAAACTTATTCTAAAATAGCTAAATAAAGCTATATTATATAGGTAAATAAAGCTATATAGGTAAATTAAGCTATATAGCTAAATATAGTGATTTTCCTGGACCTGATCTATTCCAACTGTTCTGATGAGGATATCCTTCATGAATAATCGGATAAGCTGAGATTGAAGACACTTTTTGTAAAAACATCGATGCTTTTATCAAAGTTTTGAACCAAAAATATTTAATTTATACCTTTCCATAAGTCGTAAGTTCCAAAAAACAAGAGTTGCCACTTGCCAGTTGGCTATCCGAAAAGTCAGAAAACACATGAATTCAAACCGGATGTTCTACAGTATGAATTTAACTACGAAACCATGCTCGGTGTAACTATCATCATCCGGATAATTTGAGCGTGGGTAAAAATATTTTTTTTTTTAATTTTTTGATTCCGAAAAGGATTCATTTATATATAGAGAGAGAACATACATATGGAGCATACATTTTAATAAACATGATAAAAGGCGAAACGTTGCCATTTTCAACATACAGCATGCACATGCACGGTGCCTTTGGGGCCTCCATAATCTAAGTTATGCTAAATCACTGTCTCAATTTTTTTTCTCTCTCTCTTTCTCTCTGCAATATATACACTTAACAATCTAAAACTTAGGTATCCAACTTTTCAAAATGGCGTCACAACAAAAGTTGCCTCCGATAGTGAAGATTTGTTGTTGCCAAATATTACAACTATTTACCGTAAAAAGTTAACAAAAATATACGTACACTAATCCTTCATTGTTGGCCATTGCATTTATCACAGTCTTAAAGACACTGGGTGGTGAAATCATCTTAACTTTTCACATTTACCAGCTGCTTACACCTTCTTCTTCGTCCTTCTCGATCCTCCAAAAATGGCGCCTCGGGAAATTGACCAATGAAATAAAGCGCCTACAGAGCGATGCAGGATGGGAAATATAAACTGTTTACATTCACTATGATTAAGTGTGATAATGAGATCTTATATTAGAATTTAATTAAGTTCTTCCCTTTTCATGGAATAAAAAGAGGGGCTCCTAAATATTTTTGCCGATATGATGTGTAGGCCTAGTATATTTAGAAAAAGCAGAAAAAAATGTTTCTTGCTTGACACATCAACTTATTTGCCTTCGGGATATGGGTTTCGGGGCTTGGTTGTTGGTAGTGGCCGTCCTTGCTTAAATTACCCCCCCCCCCCCTTCCCCGCTTCTTTTAACTGTTACATGCATGATTATGAATTTATAATGTCACACCAAAAGATGTTAAATTTTTAAAAGCACATTTTTTTATCGTGAACTTTCCACAGGAATCCTAAAAGGCATGAAAATGGGCTACAATTATAATATGATTATCAAGAACAGTTTTTTTTTATTTCAATAGTGATGATTGAAAAGTTCGGTGATTAATAATTCATTGCTAATAAATTGTTGTTTTTTTTTGGGGGGGGGGGGAGGGGGGATTAAATTACTAATTGAACTCCCTCCTTTTCGGGTTTAATTAGATTTTGAGCCTGCTATCAATATTACTGGTGGACCTGCTAGACTTTTCTCTAATTGCTACATGTACATTGTACTTTAAACTCCTTGGCCTTTAGCTTAAAAAATTGCCCACATCATTTTAACACGTAAAATTGTTAAATGAATCAGAATATTGAAAACCTTTTCCTTAGGAGAGTTATATCTCTAGGTGGAACAAAACTAACATCTTATCAAAGGCAGGAAAATATAACAGTATTTTAATTCAGTATTTTAGTCGTGATTGGTATAAGTGAAGTCATGGGAAAGATTATGTCGAAAGTCATCTATCCTCGTTGATCTGCAGGGCTGTACTTATATGCATACAGCTTTAGCTGGTCCCGCCCTGTATTTCTTTAATGTTTTTTTTTTTTCGTTAAGAAATCTGGTAAGGTATGCTAATAAAAATAAAATCCCGGTTAGTTTATAACTCTAACGGAAATTACTTTACTACA